TTGCACAACGTGAAATGTGTTAACTACAATATCACGACGTCACATAACGTGTAACGTGTTTACTACCAGATCACGACGTCGCACAACGTGAAACGTGTTCACCACCATATCACGACGTTGCATAACGTGAAACGTGTTTACTACCAGATCACGATGTCGCATAACGTGTAACGTGTTCACTACCATATCACGACGTCGCACAACGTGTAACGTGCTTACTACGTGCTTCTTCATCACCTGAATTAGTAAATTACGCCACAATGTGATTAGTCAGTCTGACAACAATAAATATAGTCAAACTGAACCTTCTCCTTTAGACGGTGGTGTGAGGTCAACTTTTGCCGCAATTCATCGAGAGTAACTGCCCTCTATCAAAGGGAAGCTACTCTAGTCTGTGACTCTAACGTTGGGCTGGCTTTGTTCCGTCATAATATTTAGCAACACGTGACAAACTGTTTGTTCATCAAATACCATACAATAGAATTATTTTCCCTAAATGTTACATATAAACACGGCTATATCGAAGCAATATGAACAAAATTGGTTGTAATTCACGTCATTCATCTAAAACCATGTGCGATTACCTCCCTTACAAACCGGTAAAAATATCGGCAGATATTCCAGACTAATTGCATTATTCTGTGGCGTGGAGGTTTTAGTGTATACACATTTACGATTGTGTGATACCAACAACAGTGTCAAGATGGTAAACATCGTTTAAATACCAGTTAAAATCTGAACAAAATTTCCTGAAACTCCATATCACGACGTTGCATAACGTGAAACGTGTTTACTACCAGATCACGATGTCGCATAACGTGTAACGTGTTCACTACCATATCACGACGTCGCACAACGTGTAACGTGCTTACTACCAGATCACGACGTCGCACAACGTGAAACGTGTTCACTACCATACCACGACATCGCACAACGTGAAACGTGGTAACTACCAGATGACGACGTCGCACAAAGTGTAACGTGTTCATAACCAGATCACAACATGAAACGTGTTTACTACCATATCACGACGTCGCACAACGTGAAACGTGTTTACTACCATATCACGATGTCGCACAACGTGAAATGTGTTTACTACCATATGACGACGTCACACAACGTGAAACGTGTTCATTACCATATCACAACATCAGACAACGTGAAACGTGTTCACTACCATTTCATGACGTTGCGCAACGTGAAACGTGTTTACTACCATATCACGTTGTACAACGTGACACGTGTTTACTACCATATCACGACGTCGCACAACGTGAAACGTGTTTACTACCAGATCACGATGTCGCATAACGTGTAACGTGTTCACTACCATATCACGACGTCGCACAACGTGTAACGTGTTTACTATCAGATCACGACGTCGCACAACGTGAAACGTGTTTACTACCATATCACGACGTCGCATAACAACGTGAAACGTGTCGTCGCACAACGTGAAACGTGTTCACCACCATATCACGACGTCGCATAACGTGAAACGTGTTTACTACCAGATCACGACGTCGCACAACGTGTAACGTGTTTACTTCCAGATCACGACGTCGCACAACATGTAACGTGTTCACCACCATATCATGACGTCGCATAACGTGAAACGTGTTTACTACCATATCACGACGTCGCATAACGTGAAACGTGTTTACTACCATATCACGACGTCGCATAACGTGTAAGATGTATTCCCATATAAGATCACGACGTCGCACAACGTGTAAGATGTATTCCCATATAAGATCCGGACGTCGCAAAACGTGTAAGATGTATTCCCATATAAGATCACAACTTCGCACAACGTGTAACGTCTTTACATACAAGATCAAGAACGTGTAACGTGTTTACGTGCAACATTACGACGCGCACAACGTGTAACGTGTTTACATACAAGATCACGACCAATACAGTTTATAAGTTATTGTGAAACATTATCTAGATAGCGTCACGGTGTGGTAATAACAAGCTGTTGTCAAAAGAATAACTTTATGTTAATATTTTAATTTGTTATCTGAAACATATAAATATTGTAAATATGAAACAGTTGGTCCGTTAACGTGTAGCTCACCTGACTTTATTTTATTTGCATCATCATCGTTATAATCACATAGTTCACACGCAACAAGGCGTACGTATACGACATCGCACAACGTGAAACATGTTTACGAGCAAGATCACGACGTCGCACAACGTGAAACGTGTTTACTAGCAGATCACGACGTCGCACAACGTGTAAGATGTATTCGGATATCAAAACACGATGTCGCACAACGTGTAACGTGTTTACTACCAGATCACGACGTAGCACAACGTGTAACGTGTTACATACAAGATAACGACGTCGCACAACCTGAAACGTGTTTACATACAAGATCACGACGTTGCACAACGTGTGAAAATATAACCTCCATTCTTTAATTCCTTACCGGCACTTTATTTGTATAGGGATATCATCAGGTCGATCTATCTTAGTAGTAATGTTCCGTATTGTTCTTACGCAGATTGTATTTTGAAAGGACAGCCGTTGCTGTCATTGTCCAGACAAACAAACAAACAAACAAACAAACAAACAAACAAACAAACAACTCGAGTGAAAACTAAACGTCAAAATAAAATAAACGAACACAAAGTTAATCTAGCATTTCAAATGAACACATTCTGATGTGTATGGCATATCTGACATATCGACCACCCACACCTGTGCAAACAGAACGATCATTAATCGTTCAATAACTATAGATTAATCTGTGACTGTGATCAGTATGTAAACATGTGAACAACCAACAAAGCGAACACATGCAATGTCAGTTTCGTACACCCTGTATAGTGACACCTCGGTATACCATCTGCAACTACACGATGCGTACTTGCATACATTACTTTTTGTATCTTTCTGTGGTCCTCTTATGATTATTATTATCATGCTATGATTATGATAAAGGTATGCTAGTGGATAAAACCTCTGCATTCGTCACGTGGAAGACGCGGTCGTGCCGAAAATAGGTATAAAGCGTGACGCCCATTTCTGGTGTCCCCTGGTGTGATATTACTGGCATACTGCTAAAAGCGGCGTAACACCACACTCACTCACTCACCAACTCACTCGCTCATATCTTAAAGTATCTAGCAAAAGCTGAGTGATATGTATCAGTATTTCTTGTTGGTGCAGTATCTCGTTTAACCAGACTCCTTCAATCCGGACCCTTGCAGCTGAGCTGGATCCTTCGGCTAGCCTGTGTTTGTTTCATTGCTTGAGGTTTTTAAAAGCAAGATTTATGGATGTCAACTTCTTTATTGTGAATAACACGACGTTTCGGAGTCTATGCTTGCACCTTCATCTGATGAAGGAGCAAGCATATGCTAAAACAATAAAGAAGTTGACATCCATAAATCTTGCTTTTCTTATGTATTCCACTTCTAAATGCCCTTCAAAGATTTGAGTTTTTTACATAGCAATATTCGCCACAATCAACAGTATTGTAGTTATATTGCAGTCTTGATCCCGGGGTCTGCTGCGCTAACGCTTCGACACTACTATGAAAACATTCTAACCACCCGTTCTTGGATTTTTCTTTAGTAAATATATGGCATGTCGCCCTGCAGTGATGGCCGCCATTCGGTGGTCATTGCCGGTGTAAGTATCGAAGCGTTCGCGCAGCAGACCCCGGGAACCAGGCTGGTTATATCACAGCGGCCTGTGGATATTCGAAATTCGACCGGACACCATTTGGTCATGACGACACGCAACCATTCAAAGCACCGAGACCTCTTTCTCTAATGTTTGGTGCCACTAATGATATTATGTATTACAGAAGACCTTAAAGGGTTGGTTAAGAGCGGGGTGTAAAGCTATTCACAACCATAACTTCCGTTATTATTATTATCCATTCGGAACTGCCGATTTCGTTCTTGTTCGAGATACAAGTGTACGTTATATGCGTTTCTAAAGAATGTAGAGGCCCTCACCGATTCGTCACTACTCGCCTCTTTCCGTAACCTCCATTCGGCTTGTCTCGGAATAACACGAGTTGGTCACGAATGGCCCTCACCCCGATTGACGAATTTAAGACTTCCCTGTGGTGTACTGTTCGTTTCTTTATACACTGGATGTCCATGTTTAATATTCACCTAGAAAACGTTGACTTCTACCTATTTATCATAGCCATATATCTTGTACTTCCAAGTGGAAGGGTCGGTGGGGTAGCCTAGTGGTTAAAGCGTTAGTTGCCGAAGACCCGGGTTCGATTCCCCATATGGGTACAATATGTGAACCCAATTTCTGATGTCCCCTGTCGTGGTATTGCTGGAATATTGCTAAAAGCGACGTAAAAGTAAACTCACTCACTCTAAGTAGAAACTGGAACGGTAGGGTAGCCAAGTGGTTAAAGCTTTCGCTCTTCACGCTGAAAACACGGGTTCGATATAAACTGATGCATTCACACAAGTGATTCTCCGTTAATGATGCATTCTCATAGAACTGAAAGTACTAAACATACAAGGTTCTACTCACAATGACTAAGTGACTATTGGGCTCACTTGAAGTGTACAGAACGTGGGGATTCGAACCCTGGTCTCTGGCGTGACAAGCCAAAACTTTATCCACTCGGCCACCCAGCAACCCGAGGTCTCAAAGAACTATATAGAGACATTATATATGAATTATATCTCAATGTACGACGTGCTTGTCATCCAGTGCCCCCAAAATATGTGATAAGCCAGGAACCCTTCTTCCAGAAAAACACTCGAAAATGATGTACATATTTAATTTATTAATCAAGAATATTATTGTATAAACGTTTTGCCGAGATGAACAAATACGCTATCAGCTGATAACGCCTAGCTTTTGGAAGGTTAAATTTCACCCATCAGCCCAACATTAAATATGCAGCAATGGTCGCTCGATGTCAATACATATGTATGACGTAGTTGGTTATTGCATCAGTAAGGTCGGCTTTGACAGAAATATCGAGAGATACCAGACAACCTACCTTTATGTCCTTGTACCCGGAGCTAATGACGACAGAAGCACATCACGCTAATATTTCAGATGGTGCCACATGTGCGTGTTCACGTGCTCATTGCCCGTGAGGAATCAATGGCAGCGACACATGGTGCATTGATTATTCAGAGGAGACAACTCATGACCAACAGGGACGGTATTTGCCAAGTCAGTGCATTTGATTGAGAACCGCAGTCAGAATTGTAGTTTTTTGAGTAATTAATGTCCATGATATGACAATCGCCCGTAACATTTACATATTCATCTTGTAAATCATACAAAACATATTTACTTTCTTGCACTAAGACTTGATATCATGCAGAAAGAATTACCCTCAAGTTGAGACATTGACAACCATGTTTAGAGATTTACCGTAACCCAGAAAGATTTACTTTCAATCAGAAAGATTAATGTTTTTAAGTATCGTGCAGAAAGATTTGCTCTCAAGTAGGGAGATTCACAGTCAATGCTGGGAGATGTACTGTCATGCAGAGAGGTTTACTCTCAAGAAGAGAGAATTACTATCAAGCGTCAAGATCTACCTCAATATAGAAAGATTACAATAAAGCATGAATATTTACAAATTTGCACAGAGATTTACTATCAAGCGGAGAGATATCTATAATGCAGAACGATTTACGCTTAAGTCGAGTGATTTACAATCAAGCAGGAAAAGTTACAATCATGCAGTTGGATGTACCTTTACGTGCACAGATTTACTATCAAACTCATATATTTACTACATCATACAGAAATATGACATTAAAGCATCAATATGTACTATTATGCAAAGAGATTTAATTTCAAGCGAAGAGATATACTATTAGGCTATTGAAAAGAAACTGAAAGAGTTACTATCATGCAGTCAGATTTAGTCTCAAGTACTCTCATTTACTATTAGGCTGGTAGATCTATTGAGAGATATACTGTCATAGTGATTGATGTATCATTACACTGAAAGATTTACTATCACAAGGAAGTGATGCTATCATGAAGGAATATGTTTTATATGCATAGCACTGGAAAACACTATTTTTTATCGACAACATTATTACTTTTGATGTTTTATTGATTGATATAGTAACGCTGATATCAATACAGTACGGCATTATTTGTTTATTTTATTTTTTGTCTTTGTATATCATTTGATTAAAGGGTGCAGTGTGGTAGCCTAGTGGTTTAAGAAATCGCTCGCCATGCCGACGACCCGGGTTCGATTCCCCACATGGCACAATGTGTAAAGCCCATTCTGGTGTCATTGTTCGTGATATTGCTGGAATATTGCTAAAAGAGGCGTAAAACCAAACTTACTCACTCACTCTGATTAAAGAAATTGCTTGATTAGTTTCTCAGAATTTGAAAACGTTTAACAGAGGTTCAGTTAGGAATAAATTGAATTCCAGCATCATAACACTTAATGAAATATTAGTTAAATATAGTTAAATACAGCAAAATTTAAATCATAGTTTTCCAGTGTTATCATGTCAAGACGTCATCCAAAAACTTTCAAAATCATCGGTTTTTCACAAGAAATTGACATGCAAAGTTTTAAAATTTGTAACCTCTTATTCGAGTTAGAGAGTTAACGTACTTTACCTGTTGTGAAGTTAGGAAGCTCCTGACGATCTGACGCTTGAGCAGCATGGGCGGTCCCTTTTATCTGTCATTTTCATGACACGTGGCACAGCAAGCAGGCCACATCAGGTGACTTGCATGTATGCGTTTTTCGTTATGTTTCCGCTGTCTCTCCTGTAGAAACGACTGGAGGTTTTCCTTTTTGTGGTTTGTGGATATAATTCCCTGAGCGTTAAACGAAGGTGACTGCTTAGTGTTTAAACAATGATTTGTTAATGCCTTTCGAAGCGAAAGACTTAAATGATGTAGAAAATATAATGCTGTGTTTTCAATGTATTATCTCGTATGCTTGATATTGTAGTAACTGCAATTTGCATTTTGTTACAAATAATTTTGTAAATAACAAGTAATATACATGTGTGTCTACCAACAATGAAAACAGAAAGTTCTAAAGAAAAGCTTCCGTCTTGATGCGGTCGTCGGCTGTTTATTTAATTCTTATAATACAACCTCTAACACTTGATTGCTTTATTTCCTGAAAATATTTTCAGATCCGCAGAATAACTAGAATAATAAATATTAAAAAGACAACAACATTGTGTTGTCTTTTTTCCTAGTAGTCTACACGAGCGCTATCCGTTGGAGATATCTTCCCCTGGCGTGCGCGGGAACCTCAAGTTTTCCTAGTGTAGGACCGCAGACCACACTTTTTAATTTAAGAAATATTTATTTGCCTATTGTTTCAGTCTAGTAACCACTGAGAAGTAAAGAAATAATGTTTCGTTTACACAAATGAGTGTGCTTTAGCCAGAAGAAGCTCCCAACCGAAACAACTCATGTGAGTGATTTTGGCATTTTCACAAACGATTTGGTCCACTCAGTTGCTCCAAAGAAATTTAAGCTTTCCTGGGGAAAACTGTTCCAGTGCATTGATCGGATTTTGATGCATGTTTCCCCAAAGTTTCCTTTGAAAATATTCATAATGTTTGAAGAACCGGTATGTATCTAAGTGCAATCACACCTATAACAGCAAACTGCACAATCTGCCGAGCTGCAACTTCAGGACTGGTAGCACTGTGGCATCAAAATCATTCGCACCGTTCTGGAGGACTACAGCATTTCGGTGAAATGCCTGCCATGCAGTCATCTCCATTGTGGAAATTGTTCCACATCCCTTCCCACAGACATGTGTGTATAAACACGGTAAAACTAGACAAAGTTTTACCAATATTTATGACAGTATATATTATTGAAAACTGGACATGTACAGATTAACTGACCACGGTTCACAATCTTCAAGCTGCCAAGGGTCACATTGATAATGAACATCCGAAACCAGTATCTGGTCCGGGTCTGCTGATAGCAATAAGCTAATTAAATGCACTGTGAACTTCACCCATCAACACCGATGTCTTCAATACGTTTATGAAAATTATCATATAATCCGGTCAAGATAGAGTAGCTTAAGTGCGCAGTTGGCACCGGATCGTCAGTCGAGTTAGGCAATAGGATTTAGATATAGCAACTGAAGTTCACAACAACAACTTTATCGTCAGTGTATCAGTAAATGGGATTATCTAAGATAAATGGAATAGGTATAAAACAGGGACAACACACAGTCACAAATCGTTCAGTGACTGCTGTGTAATAAACTCCTTGTTTATTTACTCAGGTGTTGTGTTGTGTGTGGGTTGGTATGGGCAGACCTCTTGCCAAGCGAGCTGATTCCCCAAAACTCGCGTTTTAATAGGTGGTGGAGAATCCGGGTACTGTGTCTATCCTATGTGAATATAGGTTAGTAACACCAAGTTCAGTTTTGTCAGCAGCAAACACATCCCTGTTGGCTTTAAGGAGTCTAGATAAGTCTGATTTCTGAGTATCATTCAGATCTGCCTTACTGAGATCAAAGTTTAGGTTTGAAGGCTTACCTGGAGATGTAGGCGGGGGTCTGTCCTCCAAGGGATGTATGAAGGCAACATCGACAGGTTGGGCAACTGCTATGACCTTGCGGGAGGGTAGGACAACTGGTTCACGACCTTGGGTTCATTGAACCCTCCATGTCCCCGTGGCAGAGTCCGGTGGTCTTAGTCAAGAAGAAATCGGGTGAGTTCCGTTTTGCCATAGATTACAGATCATTGAATAAGATTACCGTTCCGGCTTCCTATCCTTTGCCTCGTCTGGAAGATGCATTTGATGCTATTGGTGATTCCCATGCTCAAATATTTTCCACGCTTGATTTGGCAAGGGTTCTGGCAAATTCCTATGGATTCTGAAACAGCTCACAAGGCATCCTTTGTCACGCAGAGTGGCCTGTACACGTGGCGTGTTATGCCTTTTTGGCTACGCAATGCTCCATCCACATTTCAGATGGTCATGGCAAGAGCCCTGCAAGGCTTGACATGGAAGCATGTCTTAGTATATGTGGACGATATTTTGATTTACAGCAAGACTTTTAAAGAGCATCTTTCCCATTTACAAGCAGTTTTTGATCGCTTGAGATCAGCTAATCTGAAACTGAAGCCAGATAAATGCAACTTTGCTCGTTCTGAAGTTCTCTACCTCGACCACATCCTCTCCAAAAAGGGTATAAGAACTGATCCATCTAAAACAGAAGCTATTCGTACTTTTCCCCCTCCTAAAAACATCCATCACCTTCGCAGCTTTCTTGGATTGTGCAATTACTATAGAAAGTTTCTCAAGGGTTATTCCAAACTAGCAGCACCACTAAACGCCCTTTTACAGAAAGATACCCCCTTTCACTGGTCGGACATTTGCCAAACTGCATTTGAACAAATGAAACAAAGTCTTGTTCAGGCTCCTGTCTTGGCCTACCCTGATATGCAGAAACCATTTATCCTCACCACAGATGCATCAGGATCAGCAATCGGCTATGTTTTAGGCCAGTTAGATGACCAGGGTAGGGAACGAGCAATTGCATATGGGGGAAGATCTCTGAATTCATATGAAAAGAACTGGACCGTCAGTGAACAGGAGTGTCTAGCTGTGGTAGAAGCAGTCAAGTGCAACCGCATCTATCTCACGAGTAAACCTTTCAAAATCATTACGGACCATAAGGCCTTAGTCTGGTTGCAGAGCATCAAGCACACTACCAGCCGTCTCCATAGATGGGCTCTTGAACTGCAAGAGTACACGTATGACATTGTTCACAGGCCTGGTAGAGTGAACACCAATGCTGACGCACTATCTAGGAGAACCTACCCTCCTATACAGACCATGGATGTCAATGACAACCACGACACAAAACCTGAATCCCTCGAAATTCAGTTTTTCTATGACACTCCATCCCCATCTATCTCAGCGGTGGATACCATTATGGAGACAACCTCCACTCCCTCTTCTCCTGATCTGGAGAATATCGGAGAAATGCAACGACAGAGGAATACCTGCCCTTTTCAAAGTGGGGAGAGATAGAACGGACAGAGTGGCACCTGTGTCTACTAAGGCATGACAGCGAATATTACCAATCGTAACATATACTGTATTCTTAATCTGTGATTGATGGGACAAAC